TGCACCACGTGGAGGTAAGTCTATCGCACACCCCCCATTCTCAACATAATTTTATTGATAAAGTGAAATTTTGTTTAAAGCCATTCTACTGTTAGTCTAAACACCCCAGGCCGCTGGTTTAAAAGCGTATTGTCAGAAAACATCTGGCGTTTACATTTGATCTCATCTATCATTTTTTTGAATTAGGAAATATGTTTTTTGACGTAATCTATCATTTTATTACGTGAAATTTGTTTGTATTTCTTTCATAATTCCCCAAATATCGCTGTGGTGTTTATAACCTCGCTGTGGTGTGACCTAGCCCAGTTCCACATTTTCGAATAAATTAGTTGGTTTTCAAAGTGGATTCTTTTTATTTCCAGAGTCATTATGATCACTGCCTCTCCAGTGCAACATAGTTGTAAATTTTTATTTCTCCATTCGAAGACTAGTCAAAAGTAGTGTATCAATTTGCTAAAATCAAGTATGAGTCATATTATCTACGTAGAAAGGTAAATAATGAAGTTAGCAAGGTCTAAAACAATACAATGATAGCATTGAGGGCCAAGAAACGAATGAACCTTTTCAAGATTTTATTCTCATTGTACTTCCACATGGAGTTGGTCATGCTTCCTCTTGCTTGCTAAAAATGTTAGACTCACGGCCTATTCACCTTAAAAAAGGGAATATCAAAATATTTGCCTTATTTTTTCATCCAGGTTGTGTTTGGCCGACCACAAAAGGATCTTACAATCGAGAATATTGGTCTCCAAGTCCCCGACTCTGCATGGACGCCAGGCACTTGGTCTCTAAGTGACGCCTTCACCAAAGCGGAAACTGTAATGGGATGGCGTCCAGTGGACTATCTTTTCAAATTGGTGGAAGATGGATCAGCTCTTGTTCATCCACCCCTCAAACCCACTGAAATTTCAGCTTTCCTCAATCGCACTTCTTATGACACTGCGAAGGCATCTTGCGACCCGCGATCGCCTTCTAGTCGACAGATGCTTTTACAGTCTATGTTTTATGCTATTTACAGAGGAATTGCACTCAGGGAATACTCAGGTAACCTTAGCATTTACTTGTTTTATTATTATGAGTGTTGCAGTTTTGGTAGTTGTATGGTTTTTGAAGTTGTAGTCTTATTGCAACCTCTTCCTTCTATACTTTGCTGCTTTCAAAGTACATTGCTATTATAGATATTTCAATGAATTCTTGTATATGGGTATAGTTGTTCCCTTCATCCATCTTGTTTGACTAATGTCTGCCTTCACTTCAATTTCGTCGGAACAAATTTCTGGATACTTCAAATTGGCATTTATTATAAACCTGGGATAGATCTCATTGTGCTCAAAAGGAGTTTAAACATTGGGATTGATTTGATAGGATCCGTCATGCTTAACGCTACCAAAATATGAGTTAATTCACAAACCCTATAATGTGAATATTCTTACAACCTTTTCGCTTGAGCCAGTGAATCTTGAATTACCATTGGCTGACTTGGCTATCTAGGATTACTTTTGTTGTTATTGATTAAATTTCATTCCACGTCTTTCTTGTTTTAGAAATGCTGACTGCTGTGGCATCAGTGACACCTCTTCTTATTCCACCTCTTGTTCGAGATATCTTGTCTAACGGTGTCTTGAACGCTACGTGGCCAGATCAAATCACGCTCAATCAACTGGACTGTCAAATCTTGCGCTTTCTAGCTCATTTAGTCCTGTGTCTTCAGAGATTGGAATCTAATCTTCCCGAAGAACCTTGCAATGCAATTTTGGAGGCGTATATCATCACGCTCATTGTTGAACGACGTTTCCCTCTTGTGGCTTCATATATCTCAAAGCTGTCAACTTCGGTCAGGCAAACTCGGTGGTATGCCTCATTCCTCTCAAGTAAGCCTCATTTTTTCTTTGTAGTTAGATGTCTTGATTTTTAAAATAATCTAATTTAATAGTCATTCCATGTAGGTTAGAACTTGCTGGAATAGCATGAATAGGATCTAATTTAATGGTCGCCAATTTATCCCTCTTTTATCTTGGGGGAGGCTCTGCCTTCGTTAGGAGATTTAAGCCTTATAGTTGCAGGATTATCGCTAATGCGTGAACATTTGTATTATTCCTTTCATATCAGTTGAATTGCCTATAATTGTCAATTTTGCCAATGAATCAGTCAAATCTAATCTGGTTTCTCTACATCTTTTGCGTAAATGTAGCCTTCAAATAAAACCCGGTTTTATCGTCGAGTTTCCCTATCGCTGACAAAGGTAAATCGATGTGTTCTTTAAGTCAATAGCTTCAGTAGTTAAGTTGTGTGTTTGGCAAAATTCTGTATCGTTAAAAGTACTTATTATTTTTTGGTCATAGTTTAAAAGGCTTATTTAAGTAATGTGCTTTACAAAGTTAGTTAACAATTTCAGTCGGAGTTTTTACTTCCTTTATTCTTCCAAACTGTTCTTTACTTGTTAAAAAATCAATTGTATCATAATATCTTTAACATTAACTAGCCAAAAATATTCGAAGTAGCTTAACTGCGATTGTATAAGGAATCTTAACCGATTTATATCCTCATGCGGTTAGTTGAAGCTCTCGCCAACCATTACAATGGTATTCAGATATTTCGCATAGTGCGTGCTACTGAACTGTTTCAGTAGTTTCCATTATACAAAATTTGAATTTTTTCCTTTGCCGAGTAGGTTTGAAGAAGGTAGAGGATCGTCACCAATGCCTCGACTATGCCGAGAACGCCGGTTTAGATGTTAAGCGCATTACTCGTGCTGTGATTCGAATAGTACGTCGTAGGTTCGATGAACAGGAGAATATAGGAGCGGAAGATAAAGCCATAGCTGGTCCCTTCCTCAAACCCTCACAGACCAAGGTCACTGATATTGTCAGTAGTGATATGGTCCCCTACCTCACCCAATTAGATAAAGTTCGAATCGCTGCTCTTGATTGGCTTGCTCATGACCGAGGACAACGTGGAGAGCTATTGGTGAGTCACATCAAAAGGAGTATAATCATTCGATATTAATTAATGAATGAAAACGGTTAGCTAATTGCGTTATTCTTCTTAGGTACTTGCCAACAGTCTGATGCGTCTATTTATCGCGATTAAGAAACTTGGTGCTGCACGAGCTGTACTCGAACGACTGCCGATAGCTTTAGTGGACCAGTTAAAAGTGAAATTGCTGCAGGCCGAAGAAGCCTACGGCACAGAGGTTGCTAAAGCTGCTGTTCCTCCATGGCTTGCTAACTCAATCCGGGAACATGTATGCCTTGTTAATTATCTTCAAGCAATGGTGAGTTACGGCACTTTATCTACTAAAATTCGACTGAAATTAAAGAGCATACTAGGAGTTCTGCAAAATATAGATCCCCTCCATTTTGCCATAAGGACAATGTGTTCGTCAAGCAGGAGACACCTTGTTAGGAACTTAATCTTTTAAACTTGTCTTTGTCACTTTCCTGGAGACACGTATCTAATAAGTATTACCAAGCAAAAGTCAAACCGATTTCATCAATTGAATGACTTGTAATCGTTTGTATTACCCAACTTTTGTCTTTCGGATGATATATCCGTTTTTTGTTCTGTCATGGCTTGAGCAATTGTATTCTAAGTGTTTTGTGACTGAAAGGTTTAATTTCATGTTTCAAAGCTTTCTAATTCTACTCAATTGATTATAAGTTCTTTGAGTGCTCAAATAAGTGGATTGAGCTCATAGGGGACGAGAGCTCACCATACTTGTTTAGGACTCATGCGCTTATATCTTGAACATTCGCCTACCATTTGGAGTCTATGACTGTTATCGTTGATGAACCGTTACTTCTCAGCAACTTAGTTTGGTGAAATGATTACCCCATCACGCAAAACGAGTAGAGCTTGCTAACCAGATAATAGTCTAAAAGAACATAAGTTTTTTTTGGTAAATTCTTTCGTGTATCACTACTGATGTTTCTCTTTGGTAGTGTAAAGGTAGATAATTCTTTTCGGCTGAGTGATTTTCCATCAGAATGAGGTAATATGGAGAAAAGTATTGAATAATTGTGTCTACCTCTCCTTATTCGCAATAAAGGGAAATTTTTATAAGAACTAATGCAAATTTTTTACACTCATCAATTTTCAAGTTGAGACTACTTAAATTCTTTTTCCAATTCTCTTCGTTCTAGGATATTTGACTTTGAATTTATTAATAATTTTAATCTAAAGAATATCGAATAATCTGCTGAAGCCTAATGCCTTGTGGTATAGAGGTCCAGGAAATTTATGGAAGGTTTCTTTTTAAATACGCGTCAATATGGCCTCCGAAGTTTGCTAATCCTCTTTTCTCTATGGCACTTGTAGTCCACAATTCAAGGGAAACTTGACAGTAGATATTATTCATTCTATACTTTATGGTTCTCTCTATGTCTTAGGAGTCGTTTGATCAATGGTATCTTCATCGGTCATCTAAGCCCAACCCGCCTTTGTCGACCAACAATAGTGCTTCTTCTGCCTTCATCTCTCTAGCTGAACGTGTAGCAGTAGAAGAGGCCCAAAAGAACTACCAGGATCGTCTAGACTGCTGGAGCCATGAGGCAGAACTCTATACTACGGTATGCTTGCTGCAATAACAGATTATTATTTCATTCTGTAAAATTATATTCTCTAACTCCGGGGTTCCTTTTTCTAGTCCCTAGTTAAACAATTGGAGTCTCTCCTCTCCTACGAATCTCCTGGATGGCTAGTCGATGCTGCTATATTCAACATCAACATCACCGAATCGGATGTAACCTACGATGCTACAGGAATGTTCAACACTTCCACGATGCATAGAGTTGGCGATAACGAATATGAGGCAAATGCGGAAGTTGTGGAGCACGGAGAAGATGATTGTGAAGGTGGTGAGGGACCAGGTATTGCAGGTTTGGGAGACTCACCTCATGCCCGAAAGTTGCAGATGAACATTTTGAGAGAAACTTGTCTTCGGGAAACTGTCTTTACCCTCGTGAACGTGCTGAAAATGACGAATAGACATGCGGAGTGTGTGAGGTTAGCTGATCTGGTTGCTGATCCGAAATATGAAATATTTAAGGTAAGTTTGATCTTAAGTTCTTAAAAGATTATCCGATAAAGGGAATTAAATTGTGATCTAATTTCATTATATATAATTTTCCCTCCCTACGACTAATTAAAATTAGTTTTAAACGACTGATGTATCTTTTTTCCTTTCTGTTTACAGCTTTTCTGCGATTACCACATGAAAGACTTCATGGAACAACTTCAAGAATCGATGATTATCCTACAGAAGGAATGCGGTGATGCACTTGGATACGGAGAGAATTGAATGCAGCCCTTCTATCCTACCAAATGACCTCTCTTGTGTACCTCCCTTTTGTATTTGTCAATATATTGTATTATTCTGAAAGTAGATTTCTTTTGCCATTGAGCATGCTGATCTATTAAAGCTACACTCGCTTGCTAATGGAAAATATAATTTAGGAGTAACTGCTGTTCGGGAAACTTTTTGATTCCTCTCAAATGCTGAAACTTGACTGCAATTGAACGTAAATTAATCTTGTTTAATATGGGAATTTCCGTTTCCAAATTGGAGTCAGTTCTCAATCCTGCTCACCTCTATGTTGTAGCAAAGAATACTTTTAAGATTTTAGCAATCGTACATAAACGTTCAAGTTAATTGGTCACATTAAAGTTTAGGAATCGAGACAAACCCCCTACTTAATGTTTAGCGCTAGTGAAAAGCCTATCATTGTTCTCAATTGTTGTGGCTTGAGTGACAGTCTCAGAAGTATTATTATGCTTCTATCCATTTTTTTCACTCTTGCTTGAAGTGAGCTGTTCTATTTGACAGTTTTTCTTTGAAATTTTTAGTAAACAATATGGTGCATTTTCTTTAGATGACTGCGGTCGATATTATTCCAGCGGGATGGTATGTCAAACAGTGGCTTCTTTTGTCGCTATTTCTTCTCCGTTTTTTTCTTATCCTCATTTTTTTTATTCGTCGATCGTAGGTCGGTCACGGAGAAATACCTCGAGGTCTTGTCTAAGTTGCCAAACAGAGGTGATGTCTTATCGCATTTGCTAAGTGTAAGTTCTGAAATATTTGGCTGCTCTTACTTCCACCTGACTGATCCACTAGCAGGGCCTATTATCTTCCATTTATTCTCTCCATATATTTTAGGGTGACATCCGAGAATTCGGTGCAGCATGGCTCGATTCCAAAAGGAACAAAGATTCGGTATGCTCTTTATTGATCGATTTCTTATTCATTCGCTCATTGTCAGCATACTATTTTTGCATAGTTTACACACCTTTTCATACAAAATGCAAAATCATGATTTCTTTATGCTCTTCTCCTCTAACGATCACTGTTCCACGATCTAGCTTGATGCCGACGGTCAAATTCTCCAAGTCGTTCATGTTCGAAATATTGCCATTTCTCAGGCTGAGGAGGACTTTCAGTTCCTTTCCGACAAAGCGGGTAGTGGACCGCGTCTTCTGCGGTTAACTCTCACTGATGGAAAGACCAACATTTCGGCTTTGGATGTTGATAATTCACCCAAATTATCGTAGGTTACTCGAATGCATAACTTTGTACAAGTCTTTGATCATATGCTTGTTAACCATATTAAAAGATATCCAGTACAGTTAGTTTAAGCGTGTTTTTATCGAAAATTCCCTTTTTCTTTATTGATTTGAAGATCAGAAACCCCACCTGGTACTAAAATTCGCCTCGTCGGGAAGGTACCCGTGAAGCTAGGTTTCCTCATTCTCAAAAGAAAAAATTTCGATGTTCTCAAAGGCAACGTGGACTCGCTTCGTCGAGAATGGCTTATCACCAGGGTAAGAATAAGGTAGAAACTATTTATTGCTTTGCTTTGGTTCATTATACTTTAAAGGAGGGTTTACTAAGCTGTGTCCGTTTTTTAAACCTTAGCTCTTCTGTAGTTTATAACTTCTATCTTTTAACCTTCACGATAGTAACAGAATAGGAAGAAGACGGTTGCTACCAATAAGGGCTTTCAACCAGCGAAGATTTCGAATTAAAGTTAGAGGAAATGGTATGACCACAGAGTCGATGAGATTAGGGAACGTGATATGATGAATAGGTATCTGAAGTGGCACAGAAAATGCTGTATTAAGAGGCGTAGAAAATGGAGTTGGGAAATGGCATGGTGGTTGGATCGGGCCGCCTGCGGATGATCAATGTCATCGAGTGCTCTGTTTTAGTTCACTTCGGGTCAACTTTATTACACAGGTCTTGAGGACGCAAATGAGTTTCTTTTCAAATGGTAAAATCGGACTATTTCACAATAGAAACTTTATACCTGTAATTGACGGAGGAAGTAAGCCAAATTGGTTGCAAAGTCGAGATTTGGATCGAAAGTATCAATGGGACTATGCGAATGGGATCGAAATTCAACCGAGAATAAGAGTATAACCTAAAAAACTACTATTCTCGAGAACTCCTCAATTTGAATGAACAAGTTGCTTACTACCTAATTTCCATGCCTATACTACTCGTTCATTGCAGTACTGTAAAGCGCTTATATGTCTATGCTCATTTACATTGACGCATTTTGCTAATCCTTATATTTATCGCAAGTGCTAGGCATTGATTTTCCCTTAAACTTAGTTCATTCTTCTCTTTATTTACATGAGATCTTCAGAGGTCTTAAGTTGTTGTTATTTTGCTTTTACCCTATAGACTAACGGAGGAAATTTACTATTTTTTGTTTGTCCTTAGGATGCAAAGGGTACACGTCGTTCTAATCGTGGTGGACCTGACGACCCTCCTCCCTTCGTGACTTTTGGAACTCCGGAGGCACACGCCATGATCTCCGCACACAACCAATTTCTCAATAGTATTCGCACCAACAATCACCGCTCAGATGGTTGGTGTTTCTTGAAATGCAATTTTTTTATATATGTCTGCATATACCTCTTATGGTTGGACTCATGTTATCTGAAATAGTTGGCCGATTACCTGTGTTGACTGCAGGTCTAACTAATAGGTCTATAACCGATTGAGCAGTTGGCCATCTAAAAGGAGGAATCTGGACACTGTTAATTTCAGTTATATTTGACAGGTAACCAAAGTTGTATCAGCGGAGGTATTTATGGGCCAGCTTTGCTAGACTGTGCTGGTTGATTAGTGACTTTACTTACATATTTTGAGACCCCTTTCAGATTGTTCATCGATTTCTGTGAATCAATGGATGGAAGAAATTTGATTGAGAATTAAACATTGAAAGGCATTCCGAAATGGATACAGTTAAGTGTTCAATATTGAAGCTAGAATGGAATAGGAAAATGCGGGTTTGCGTCCTGAGATATTCGACGATAATAGGCAGCTAATTTGTCTGGCTAAGTAGACCAGGAATATCTAGAATATATTTCGAATTCTTCAGTCAGAATGGTTGCTGATAAGGTTATGTGGGTTAAGTACTTTACCATTTGAATTCCAGTTAGCCAAGTTTTCAAATAAGCATTTTTGCCTTACCCAATTTAGATGCATTTGACTCCCTCAAAATGGCCTTGAATGCTACAACGAAGGCTAATATTAGCGCCGCTGGTGGAGATGACACCGATTTTCAACAGAAACGACGGGAAGTCCTCGCGGAGGCGCAGAACACTGACGTTAGTCAAGGGCAACACAAATTCAAAGCTGGTTGTTCGAAGTAACTGATGCTTTCTTGTTACTAATTATTAATTTCCTATAATTTCTAATTACGCATATTTAAATATTTTATTTCCATCTTCAGATTCCAGCAGGCCCGCGTTGATTTGGCCGTAGAACGGGATCATAACATTGCTCAACTGGTGTCTATGGGTTACCAACCAAATGAAGCCAGTGCAGCGCTAGAGGAGTCAAATAACAGTCTTGAGGGTGCCATCGATCGTTTGCTATCTCGCCAGATGGGTCGCAGCTTCGATACTCGACGGGGAGGTGGCTCGACTGGGCGCGCTGGAAAGGCACCTGGAGGTGATCGTGGGCATGATCGAGGTCGCCGTGGTCGAGGCCATGATGGCGCTAGAGGTGGAAAATTCGATTCAATTTTAGACGAGGATCCTCGTTTTGATCCGGTTAGACCGGTCACATTGAAAATTGATTTGGATTTTATTCGATAAGGTTACTCTTTCCTTCATCCAGGTAGCCGCTGCAGAACGATCAGGCCTCAGAGGCAAACCCTCGCAGGGTCCAGTACCTCTTTCTGAATTTATGGAACAACCATATCCCAAACAGGTTAATCCTGGTCCTGGTCCGTCGAGTTCCTCTTATATGTCATCAGGGGTTACCAGTAAGTATCGACTGCAAGGTGGGACGGTTCTGAAAGCTAGGGTTATGTCTGGAGACTACGAAGCTGCTCAACTTGTCGGTCTGCTGCCTTCTAGAATGAATGGCGAGAGAGTTGCTGTGGTGACATACCTCAATAGTGGAGAAAAGGAGGAGGTACCCGTTAGTATGCTGCGGACACTGGAAAATACTGAGGTAGTTTGAAGGAAATTCAACTAACATGCAGTAGCCTATCTTGTGAAAGATTGGATTATTGTAAATTTGGCAAGGTGCTAATTATTTTTCTCAACTTGGTGTTCCTGTCTTTGTAGATTACACCTGATATGCTTCCCGAGATTCAAAGTTCTCTTCCCAAAAATGGTGACATATCTCATGGAGGTCGAGGTGGATTCAATAAAAATAGCACCAATTTCCGTGGAAACGGTGGAAGAGGTCGAGGGTTCCAAGGGCGAAATGGTGTTGGAAATGACAACAGAGAGGGACCGGTCAGAGGCGGTGGTCCAAGGGGACGTGGAGATGCAGGACGCGGTAGAGTCGGTGGATTCTCTGTGAGTGGGTCTCGTGGAAGGGGATCTCGTCGTGGCAGATAATTCATAATTGTGCTTCCTTCGAAAATCCTATTTCTTATTGAAATTTATTAGTGAAATAACAAAATAGCCTGTTCAAACGTTTGTCTGATTAAACAGAATTATTAAATGGAATATGAATGCAAGCTAAAAGAAAGCATTAGACAAACTAATTTAGCTCCCCTTCTTGGGCGGTATTAATCATGCATTAAAGGTACCCGAAACTCTAATATCGAAACCGGAACATCAAGTCTGTTTTACCATTAATGGGCTATATTTTCAACGAAAATAATTTTGACATGAAATTTATTTATATTAAATGGCAGGTGGTTTGATAGTTATCATTAACCCTTTAATTGACTTCAGGCTTCACAGGGGGGAAAGAACATCAAATTGAAAAATGTCGGCAGGGGGGAGCAGAAGAGTGTTTCAAAGATGTAAGAGACGGACACAAAGGTGGGGAAAAAAGGTAAGGTGAGTACTCTGGAAGTGGTCGGATTTGACATACAGTGGGGTGATGGTAGTCCGAAGTGAGAAGTCAACTGCCGGTTAGTAGACTTTTTGCCGTATGAGTACATGTTTCACAAGGTGCACCACATGGAGGTAAGTCGATCGCACACCCCCTCAAACGGAAACATTGAATTACTTATTTGCCTAAATATGGAATACGGTACATTTATGTATTTAAGTAGAATAAGTATATAATGCATTATACTCGTTAGAAGGTGCTCATAAGTTTATACCCTCCTTAATCTATGAACGTTATGAGAGGAGTCG